GCTCCGGTTGCCCCGGCAACTCCTTCGCCATGTTAATTCTAATGCAGTCAAATGAGTTTGCCATGCTGGCTGAGTGACTGACTGACTGGCTGGCTGGCTGACTGGCTGGTTGCAGAGATAGAAAGTTTTTGGCTCCGTTTGTGCATTTGTGCAGGATGTGATTATGAGGTTTTCATATTACAAATGTATGTATGTAACGAGAATATCTGTCTCATGCTCGACCGTCCCTTTCTTGGCAAGTGTGTGGCAATAAAATGCTTTACTGATTTGCAAAGTTTTGTCATTAAGCACACTTGCTGCTGCCGCCATCACTTTGGCCTGATTACAGTTTAGAATTTCACAAATATTTGCACCAGCGAGCGTTTCATCTTACTGCCTGTCTCTCTCTGCCAGCTTGGTTATTTATTTATTTGCTGTTTGTTGGCTTACTTGATTATTTGCCATTTTCCATGCATGACAGCGCGTTAAAATTTGTGTCGACAGATTTATTGCGAAACTCCAGAAATCTATTTGTTGAATGCCGCTTTGTGAGTGCCACTAAAATCATTCAATCGAAAATCATTTAATTGTTTTGCCATTCACCATTGTGTCTGTGTGTGTAAGTCTAATTGGCAAAGGCTTGGGCATTGATGGGGAAAAATTTTGGGTGAAGTTCCTTTGCAGGCAAGTGAGATGGCTAATGAATCATCCAAAATTGATTTGTCCCTATCAGCTACATCTCCCTTCAGAACTCCGAAAAAGGAAAAACCAGTAGCCATAAAAATGAAACTTAAATACCGAAAAATGTGCGTGCTTCTTTGGCAATCAGAGAAAAAGTTAGGGATAAAAAATATAGCCATACTGGTCGGTCATAAATAGGCTTAGCAAATCGTCCCCTTGGGGTACATGCGTCGTATACGTGATATTTTTTAATTACATCCAAAATGCTTTGTAAGTTCGCTGCGTGCTGCAGAAAATTCGCTTTTAATTGCCGCAGCAACAAACGCTCTGTGACTTTGCCGAAAATTCAATTGGAAAGTGTTCCCCAATGGGAAGCAACTGGAAAACTAAAAACTCTTAACCCAATCCCAGCACACAGATGGAAAGCATCCTTAGGAAAATGAAAATTTAATTAATGCCACCACTAAAAAGCAGAAAAACCAGAACTCGCTGGGGAATGGAATGGCTGGTAAAATTCTAAACTTATATGGAAAATATTTTGTATTTGCAGGAAAACTTTTACCACCAGCTGCGACCATCTGAAGCGGATGTGAAAAGGAGAGAATGTCAGCAGCAGAATGAGAGGTAAGATATTAAGGAGAAAGAGAGAGAATAGTTGGTGCCTAGAGGATTAAGCGCACATATGAGATACGAGCAAAGGCAGAGCTTAAATGTCACTAAGGGGTCATTAGTTTAGAAAGATTAAAAATAGATCATAAGAAAATCGAAATAACATGTTTGTTACTCCACTATTATTGGGATATTTCTTTCTCCCTCATTTAGTGGTCAATGACAATAATGGAACAAAGGTGGTTTTGTGGAAACAGATTTCTCTCGATCATTAAGGTCCGACCGCACCATTCAATTAAATTCAATGCCTAGTCAAATTTTGTGGCATTTAAGTGCAAATGGAACGAAATTAGCGCCGAAAGCGAGTCGTATGGCGGGAGACAAATGAAAAGGCATTTAAAATGTCAACACGACCGCAACATCGTGTGCGAAATGGTCAGAAAAGGTGTGTCTGTATGCATGTGCAAAGGGATAAGTATGGATGTATACATATATGGGTTTGTGTGTGTGTGTGGATTTTCCAACAGCAACAACGACTTTTGCGGTTGCACAAAAGTAAACCAAAGTGACACAGAGTCAAAGGTGAGGGCTAAACGGGTTTTTGGGGCTCGGGGTGCGGAACGCTTAAATGCTTGACCACGAAAAGGCCATTAGAAAATGGTCGCATGTGTGTGTGTGTGTGTGTGTCAGTGAGTTCCGGGGTCCAAAAGCCATCTCGGGGTGACAGTTGGAAATTAGGCAGAAGCCAACCCAAAAGACAAAAAAGCCAAGAAAACATGAAAATAATCCAAAAACTGAAACCACAAAACGTTTGCCAACACGTGTAAACTTTTCCAAGTTTTTTCACCAAGGCTGAATGCCCAAGGTTTGGGGATGGACATCTTGTCACAGGTCTGACGGCGAGTCCTTCACCTTCACCCACCTGAGCTCGTTAAACTTTAATTCAAAAACTTTAATATTTTATCATAAATTCACCTTACATTCATTCTTCATTTGAAAAGGGATATTTAAATGACATTTGCTTTTGGGAATTAAGTTTGTCTGTCTTGGGCCTCTTTCTTTTTTAGTAAACATTTTCATTTAATATATAAATGTTGAATAACATTTGAGTTCCATTTATTGTAAGTCAGTTAGTTTAGTTCATATTAAATAAGCCTTTATATTTCATATTCCTTAACATATCATTCTTTCTACGTCAAGAGCTATGTTTTGGTTTAAAATTCTAAAATATAAAAATCAGTTTTAGATATTCTTCTGTAATCTTTCTCTTTCTTCTGAAATCTCCTTGTCCTAACTAAATTTGCTAAAATTTTTAAGACCTTTTTCATAAAATGAAGACCATTTAAACAAGGATATTCCAAACTTTATTATTCAGTTGATTTAAAGCAAATATAAACCAACTGACAAACGAAATGTTACTTGCCACCGCAGATTCAAGAATCCAACAGAGTCACGCTCTGATTCCCACCTCTAACTACAATGGACACACACCTGGATGGCAGGAATCCTGTGTATATAGGTTCACCGGTTGTAATCTCCTGCCGCATTGCCGTTGAATGTGTAATAAAGCACATGACTTTGGTCTTTTATGGTTTGGCCGTGTTAAATTTGGCCGCAGCTCACCTTGAACCCCTGGAACAATGACCAAAGTAAACTCAGATTGTCCGTTGATGTGGATGTGACTCTTGGTGCTCCTTTGCCTCCTTGCCACAACGACAACAATGTGCAACAATTAAATGTCAAACAGGAGCTTTTGATGGACGCTTAAAATCACTGCATCTGTCAGCTGACACTGAAGCCGGCTTCGTTTTGTGGCCATCGCAGATCGGAGGTGGGTGGCAATCTGATGTGGTTGGGGGATTCCATGGGGAAAGTACAAGTCACGGAACGGTCACACAAGCACTGGCACAAGCCAACATCCACATTCACATCCACACAAAGGCAGCCACACATGATGGCGGAGCAGGTGCTCATAGCGTTTAAAATGTACACCCATAAACAAAAGTGCAAACAAAGCCATAAACAAGAGGAGGACTTCAGAGCAGGTGCTGGCACTGTGTGGGTGAGGGTGAAGGTGGGGTGCAAACTTTCACCCTTCCCCGCATCTATGTGCTGGATCCTTTTGCCAGGACCCGCCGATGTCGTTCGTTAGTTTTTCCTGCCTGCCAGTGCTCAGGGGACACTGATTTAAGGCGTGGCCAAAACTAATTTTGTTTTTCACTCGGTTTTTTCAAATCAGATTTTGTGGTGCATATTTAGAGCTAAAAGGTTAAGCTATTAAGCTGAAGGTCAAAGATGGAATTATTTTTAGTATAAACAACTTTATAAAGTATTTTTCAGTTATTTGAATTCCAATTAGTTATGTTTTAGGAACAACAAAATGTTATTTTATCTTTTTAGTCTTTAATTCTCTTTGTTATATTTATGGAAGCTTTAGCAGTCTTCAATACGAATACAAATCTTTGTTGGCCTTGGGGTCATTTTATTTAATCTAAAGAAGTTCAAGTCCATAGAATAAAAGTGATAAATACCATTTATAATGATAAATTCATTAACCTTATAATTTTTCCCCTTTTTAACTTAGTAGTTTTTGCATAACCTAAGGGCACTGTGCTCGTAAACATTGCTGGCAGCAAGAGAACGACATTGAATGTCTGGGCCGACAGCAACCCTTTTGGCCCCTGTCCCTGTGCCAGTAATCATCCCCTTACCCCTATTCCTTACCCTTCCATGTCGCGCCACTGCACTCCCTTCCGGTCGCTGGTCGCTGTTTCTGCTCCGCTCCGCCCTGCTCACAGTTTGTTAGCTTTGCTTTGTGACGGGCTTCTGTTGCCGGTTCGCAGGGTCCCGTCGACCACGGTTTTCATGGGAGTCGCCGAAAGGGAGAGATGTTTGCGAGCGAAAAGGGGAGAGCCAGAGGTGTCCTCCAGGATCCCAAGCAAGAGCTGGAGTTGGAGCAACCGAAGGCAAAGGGCCTGTCAGCGTTTTCTGTGCTGCGCTTTGTTTTTAATACATGTACGTGGTGGCATCGTTTATTATTATTTTTTGTGTGTTGTTGTTGTTGTTGGTAGCGCAGGGGACCGAAGGACATCCCTGCGTATACGTAATGTTCAATGCATGCCCTCCGTGGTGTGTGTGTCTGGAGGAATATGTGGCGAATATATAACCCATGGGTCCATGTCACGCACACATTAGAAGGTAAACACGCGTTTCGCCACACGATGCATAAACATTTGGACATTCCATTCGCCCCACCCATTTTGCCCAGCCAAATCGCAAGGACCTGCGTGTGCGGCATCGTTGGGTTAGGAACTAAATTAAATTTTTACATCAACATTTGCGCTTCATTAGAGATGGGAAAATGGCATGAGGGAGGTGGTTGGATATGTGTGGGACAATGCCAAGTGTTGCTCGTCGAGTGCCCGGTGGGAATGGATTGGGCTAAGCAGTCCCAGGCAACAGACAAATGAGTTGCGAGTGTTATTGGTGGGGAAAATGGCAAAGCAAACTCACTAAATTAGCCCTGGGCCTTCCGGGCGGCATGGGGGAAGGATGAACTAAAGGATGTTGGCCAGACAGAATGTTAAACTTATCGCAGGCATAACGATTCAATTGATGGACCCGTGGAATTGATAGTCGGCTGGATAATTGGATAGAGTTGGATGTGAGTGGCGGCAGGAGAAGGCCACCGCGAGGAAAATATGCCAAGGGGGAATGGTAAGATATATAGAAATAATTGGGATTTTATTTCAGTGTTTTACTATAAATGTAGTGTTACATAGTGATCATTTACGTAAACTTTAGATAGATATTAATTACTAACTAAAGTTTTTAATAGAGGAAAAAATATTTCAAAAATATTTACATTTTTACAAGCTAATGGTAAACATGAATGTACCTAAAAATCACTTTGAAAAAATGAAAAACATCGAAAAGTAATTCAAATTGGAACAAAAATTTTGAAAATTTACTAAAACATAACTGTAAATTTTCGTTATAGCCGTTCCGGAATAATAATTTAAAATAATTATTCCAATTATAAAAATTGGCTACGAAAATGTACATTTAATACAAGAAATCCCTAATTTGCACTTTAAATAGTAGTTCCTTCAAACGCTATTACATCCTTTACTCGGCAAAATCCTCGGCATCCTGTAGATTTTTCATTTGGATCGTTTGCATGCAGCAGATCTTTCGCTTATTGATGCACGTGGTGAGTACGCGACTTTGGTACCGTTCCTCGCAGTTCCACAGCTCCAGGCAGGATGCCACCATTGAGGTAACAGCTCTCCAGATCTGGGAGAGGATGTTCAGATTAAGGTTAGGATCTATAAGCAAGATTAGCTTAACTCACGAATCTGCTTGGGATGTATGTAGGTGTAGTAGGCACCAACCACTAGGGCAAGTAGTATAAAAACAAGCAGGAACACAGGACATGGCCAATTACTTGGCATCTTTGATATCCGCTTGTTCTCCTACGAACTTCGTATTGTGCGGCAGCAATTGTGTTCCAAAATATTTAAATATACTTCCAAATTGAAAGCTATCTCCATGCCTTTGGGGCAGGAACGCAGGAAGGCAGGAAGTGAATGGAGAAGAGCGCGCCGACGATTATGCTCTGAAGTGCCACGCCCCGCTAAGTGAGTAAGTAAATTATTATGATAATGCGCTTTTCGAGAGCGAAGTGCAGTCTATGGGCAATGTTAAATTGAAACTTCTTAATTAAAAACTTGCTGCATAAAAACTGGCAGCAGCAAATCGAGGAAGTCTGCACTGTTGGAAAAGTTTCGTAATTGCAAAGGAAAAATTAAGAAAAATTAATGAAGGAAATTGATTATACAGCAACTTAACCTTAGTATTTCTTATACTTATTTGTTTTGGGTTTAATTTAATAATTTTATAATATAATAGGCAAAAAGGTCTAGCGATAAATATTAATAAATTAAATATGCCACCTAATCTTAACCAGAAAATCCAATTTAAATCTAAAAGTTTTAGAAAGTTTCCTTAGAGGGTAAAGTTACAAAATTTCCTTTTGGCCAGCCAGTTTTCTCGCCAAATAATCGCATAACTTGTATTTAGATGACGGTAATCCCCGTTTTTAATTTCAAGTGTAGATGGAATGGGGAAGGTTGGGTCCTCTGGACACCTCCGTTGCCTGCAAATCAGTGTGAAGCAAAATAAACCGCTTAAGGACTTGCGACTTGGCTGCGCGTTGGAAATAACAAGAAAACTGCCCTCCAGCTAGAGTCTGCTCATGCTAAGGAGGCTGGATGGGAAAAAGCAGGAAAAGTGGGAAATGCGGACGGGACAGGGGGGCAGGCAGCACCGACGGAAGTGGCGGGCGGATGTGCTTGGTCAGGCCATTGGACCATTGGCTACCCACAGCGGCCAGTTAGGGAGAAAGCAGAAGCTACAGTGGGAAAAAATTCAATTAAAAGCAACAGCACGTAACTGAAACTTTTCTTTTTCCCTCTCGTTTTTGCAAGTTTTGTATCTTTTCACCGTCACCCTATATATGTATGTATGTATGTGTGTGTGTGTGTTTTTCTTGTTCGTTGAGGAACTGCCTCGGGAGCCAGAGAACCATAGCACTTTGAGTTATAAGTTGGTGCCAGCTGTCAGTTCTCCCTGCCTTAAAAGTTGCATGTTGGCTCCTCTTCCACAGAATTTTCTTCCATTTCTTTTTTTGTTTTTTTCAGCCACACGAAGTTGCAGCTGAAAATTGAAGATATCAGTTTTGTGGCTGGTCAATGGCACGTCAAAATCAAATAGAGGAAAAACCAAAAAGAAACCAAGCAGCGGAGTCTTTGAAAGAGTCAAGTTGAATGGCAAGATGGTGACTTGCCTTACCCTTTGTCCAAAGTCTTTGTGCTCGAACAAATCAAATAATATAATGTATTCGCATTTAATCAAGTTATTCACTTGCCATGCCACCAGCTCCAGCAGTTCCAGCAGCCTAATGCAGCCCGATTCGCACATTACGTATTCGCAGTGAGGCCTATCCGGCGAATGACGTCACCAGAATCAGGTCAAGTAAGGCGAGTGATGAGGGGCGGTGAGGTGGAATCTAGAGGCAAGAGGCAAGAGGCTGAGGCAGAGGCTGGGGCATACAAATTATGTTGGAGCAGCAAAATGGCAACTCACTGTGGAATATTTTCGGCTGGCTCTCTCTTTCTCGCCTTAAATGTTCTGCTTCTCTCTCTGGCAAACTCACCTTGAGCTTGAGCTTCTTGGGTCCTTTTTTATTTGTATTTTCTTTTTTTTTTCTATGGGTGTGCTACTTAATGGCCATTCATTCGCCAGGCCAACACTATATATACAAGCCCAGCGGAAAACCCCCTGGAAAGTTCATTTTCATTTTCGTTTTTGACATTTTTCAGTTTTTGTTTGCCTTATTTTCATTTTGTTGCTGTTGCTACTGCTGTGTGTGTGTGTGTTTGCGGGGTAAATTAAATTCAGATTATGCGGCTGGCAGAGGCTCTTAACTAGATGAAATGAGATGAGGACGAATGGGGCTGGGTAACTGGGTGACTGGCATTTATTTTCCATATATTGATTGCTTTTTAATGGATATTTTGCTGCTTAGCTGGCGCAGCATAAGGTGGCACTGTCCGGTGTTATTCTGCTCTTTCCCCCTACTACACCCTTGGTGCCAGCTTCCACTTTCAGGGAGCATTAATTTTATTTACATAGTTAAATGGTTCAATTGTTTGGCTGTTGATTTAGTGCTGGAATTTCAGACAGTAAAATTAATTGTTTGATTTGTGGCGGCATCGTTCGTTTTCCCAGTGTGCCGAGCTCTATATATTTTATTTACTTTTTTTTTTGCTCTTTTTTTTTTTTGGACAAGCCTGCCATCTCCTATGTAGGTCACTTTTTCCCCCATCTTTCGCTGGCTGTGTGTCCCTAGTGATTTACAGTTTTATTTGCACAGTTTATAAATAAAACTGTCAAGTGAGAGACGCCGTTCACTGACGTTGGCAGCTGCTCATCTAATGGCATTTTCCCATGCCTGTTTAAAGTCGACTCCCATAGAACCTCCATCAACCACCACCCACCGCAGCCATTTGTTATGCTGCAGGGGATTCCCTGCCAACGCCACCAACGCCCTCTCCCTCCGATTTCAGTCCAGTCCGTCAGTCACTAGTCTAGTCAATCAGTTGGAACGTCAATCAAGCAGGAGCTAAAGTTACTGCGCTGAGCCCGCGCAGCAGGTAACTAGCTGTAACTAACTGGCAGCAGAAAGCGAAACAAAGCCAAACTGCCAGGCGAAAAGCATTTCACGGGAAAATACTTTAGAGCAACTGTCTTTATTTTATTAACCTGCCGTAACTCGATTCCTTTGATTTCGGCACTGAAAAAGGAGTTCAAGTTTTTCTGATTATGGAATTACGTATACAGATTCCTTAAGAGTAATTTATTATTTGGTTTAAAGGGGAATATAAGAACCTGAAATTTGTTAATCTTTTTAGTAATAATTTTATATATAATACTTAAGTTCTACAAAGGTACTTTCTAATATGTTTCTTTAAGTTATAACAGAAACAGGTGAGAAACAAAGTTCCTTCTAGTAAAAACTAGTTAAAGTTCCTTTCTGTTAAACCCTGTTTTTTCCCCCAGTGCATCATACCCTTTGCCCTGCAGGGTATAACAATAACAAATCCATATACACACAGGCAGCTTAAAAAAATTCACCACGCTATGCTCTTTGGGGCAACAACTCTTTGGCGCTGCTTTTGCTTTTCTGCTTCTGCTTGGCTGCTTTCTCTTTTGGCCAAAAGAGCGGCCCAGCATCGCATCGTCGTCTCTCTCTCTCTCTCCTGCCGTCTCTCTCACGCATAGACATGGCAACAAGAATGGTAATGTGGTAGTGGTAGTAGTAGAAACAGCAACGGCAACGGCAAACGGCGGCTTTCATCTTTTTTTAGCACACGCGCCCGACTTGCTGCTGCCTGGCCCAAAAGTTCGTACCGCCCCTCGTCTTGCCACCCCGCATTTTTCGGAGCCCCCTTGCTCGCCTGTCGACTGTCGACTGTCAAATCAATTTGTCAGAAATCACTGACAGCTGCTTACAGCCAAAACACACACACTAGCTGGCACACAAACACACACACACACACGTTTCACACATGATGGCATGAGGAGGACATGGAGGACATGGGTGGCCATCAGAATCGTCATTCGCCTGCTGAAGAGTTGTCATGCCACAAGCAACAAGGACCAAAAGCGTGTTAGGAATCCATAGTTCGGATTTTCGACTCTTGGATACCCAATACTGATTTTTGATTTTGCAGCTTTAATTGCCTTAATATTGGCAATCATAAGCTACTTTGACTTAACGGAAAATCTTAGCTGAAATCAATTATATTACACACATAAAAAAGATTTCATTCATTTTTCAGACATTTATAAAATATTTACGTTAGATTAGATTCAAAAAATAATAATAAATTTTCAATTAATAGATCAATTTTAAATGCCATGCAGTTTTTTGGGAAATAATATAAAAAAATGAAATCATTTATTTTTTTATATTATTTGTAAAGGATTTTGAGTACTGAAAATGCCATAGCAGTAGCCTTAAATTCGCAAAATATTTCACAAATACGACTATGTTGAATGTTTTTTATGAGAAAATACCAGAAAAGTCTGTACTTCTCACTAAAAAAATTGAATGGAATGTAAAATCACATATGAAATAAATATATTATATTATATATACCCATTTTGTCCTCGGGTAACTGGGTATTAAAATAACGACGAAATCCAAACAAGAATTGATAATAGTATGGGGCCATGGCATAGCGGGAAAAAATTGCCTAGGGTGTAAATTATTGCGCATATTTTCATTTCTTTTCAAATTGCTTTGCAGATTGCCAGCATTTGAAAATTGTCTACGGCATCCTCCGAACGCTTTTGACATTTACAACTCATTTTTGTTGTTGTGTCTTGTGTTTTTTACACCCAAACCCCAAACCCAAAAGCCCAAGCCCCGAACCCCAGACCATTTCAAACCAAAAAAAAAAAAAAAAAAAACATGAAGAAATCTCAACGCAAGAAAGTTTTCAAGTTCGACTCTGACAGACAAGCGGCTTTTGTTTGCATGCCACACACACTCGCATCAGCCAACGGCTGGAAGTTGTGCGCTGCGAGGCGTATACGTAATTTAACAGACAATGCCAAAGCGAAGATGGGAGACCAATGCGAAGGAAAGGCGCTTCACCAAACAAAACAACAGGAAAAAAGGTGGATAAAAAATCAGGAAAGGTCTTTGACTGAGTTCGGTTCGAGATGCCCTAGCTCAAGGAATGGTTCTAATAGTTTTGCCATAAAGCTGATGGGTATCTTAAAGGATGAGGAAATACTCTTGGCTGTAAGTCATGTCAGGAACTGCAAAACTTTGACTGTGTAAAGAACTTAAAAGTTTGGGTATTAACAATAACACAATTACTAGTGACTTATAAATTGGATTTTTTTAATGGTTACTGAATTAACTTTAAAAAATTGATTTAAAGAATTTTACTAATGTTGTTTAAATGACTAAACAGAAGTGAAGACCAGATATTAAAATCATTTTAAACATAATTTTTGGCAAAGATTTTTGCGCTTTTGCATAAAGTAGAAAACACCTAGCCGGGATTTAGTATTAAGTATGCCCAACATGAATTGGAAAACAAGGGGTTGATTATGCAAA